CCAGCACGAGTTTTCGGCCAAATGATGCTGTTTCTGGCAGATATTCTCACATGACATCAATGATGGGTAGGCCTGATCGCTAGCCATATAGTTAGAATATAAATCATATGCACTGTGTTGTTCTCTTTTGTTTCCCATAAAAAAAAAGGCATAATTAATTCATATTGAATTTTGTAACACTAATAATTTTGACTAAATGTTTCCCTACAGTTTAATCTCTTTGTTCTTGTCTTAATAATCTGTATTGTTGTTCTATATATATGTTGTATGGTGCAACGCTACTTAATCTTAAGCTTTAAACATGCCAAACGTCATTTATCGGATGCTTCTGCACTATGACAGACTGGGTGTTATTTTTATTTTTTTGCTAATGATGAGAGACTCGGGTGATTTTGACAATGTATAGACTATCAAATGACTATGCGTAGGTTCTGTATTAGTATATTTTTTATATAGTATTTATGATTTATATCAAATATATGTATGATGTTATAGAAAACAAGATTTCTCTAAATGTATGGAGAGCTACAATTTGCTGCTTCATGGTAAGAGAGCGCTGGATATTTCTTCCACATATTTTGGGATGTTCTCATGTCAAATTGTTTTTTCCCCAAGAATTGTGTAATTTAGAATTTGTAATGCAGTCTATAGTTTGTCTCATGTATATGATGGTTCTAGAAATATTTGTAGTCTAATTATTAGGGTACTTCGCAAAAGATGGCAAGTTTGAATCTATCAAATCCAAAAGTTAAACAAGATGAAAAACTGTCTTCAAAATGGGGCGTCATGTTAATCAGATTACTACCTATACTCGTGATTCTGTTATTGAATTTATTATATATTTTCCTTAGGAAAACATATCGTTATACACATATTAACACTGACTCAATTTTGTAGCATAACCGTTAATTTCTGGATTACACAACTTAATTATGAGAAATCTAATAAACTAACTGGAACATTTGTCTACTGTCTGATTATAAACTAACTGGATTGAGCTGACATTTTGATAGAAGCAATGTCTTAATTTCATTCTAAGGTATCAAAGAATCGGCAGGAAGAAGTTTAGACAAGTTCCAAGGAAATTGAATATTTAGATCATGTTTATATTTCACCTGCTGCTGCTTAATTTTCCCCTCCCTCTCCCACCTCCCCCCTCTTCTCTCTTTTTAAATTGTAGATTTGTTCTGAACAAATCGAGCTTATTATACTTCAGAGTAGTGGTTAAGTTTTACATTTGATATGTTTTTTAATTGAAAATCTCGGTCTAAAATGAATATGTACCAAGGCCACCGGATTAGAAAAGTTATATAGGAAAAAACATGCATGCAATTTATATTTGAAGGCATGCTTCGTTCCATAACTCAACATATTTGAGGCAGAGAAACTAAATCTAACATTGATTAAATATGTGATTAAAATTCATTTTAATAATGATTTTTGTAGTCCTATTCCATCGAGTTTTTGGGAATTTGAGTTAAACCTTAATCTATTCTTAATTTTATTGTTGTATTATATAGTCTACTCTAGTGAGAATATTGGGCTACGTATAAAGTTAGTTTCTTAACGTGAGAGTTGTGTATTAAAACCATACTTCAGTTATATATATATATATATATATATATATATATATATATATATATATTTAAATTACTTTTTATAATATTGATTTAGACAACCGATACTTCTACCTTTACCTAGCTTTTGAAGTGAGATTAGATCCAATTGCTTTACAATTCTAATATTAAAATGACCTAAAAAATAGTAAAATAATCGTGCTTAGTAAACTATTATATATGGTAAACAAAATCTCCATTTTTGGCCTAGGTTCAAGAGAGACAGGAGTAATATAATGAAGTAAAATTGCCTCTTTCTGAAGTTCATAAGGCGATGACTTCTAGAAACAAAATTGATTTTGCTCATAGATATGAACTATTTTAATTGATGTCTTTATATATTAATTTGAGATTTTTAAAAATTATTTAATTTCTCGATGTTTAACTCGTGTTAAATTTCCCAATGAAGCGGGCTGAAATATGTAGGAAGCCTTAGTTGTGTCAAACGAGCCAAGTGAAGAATCACAAAACAAAACTTAGAGGCTTAAGTTTGAGTACACTCAGTCATATAGTTTTAACTTATATACTTTTCCGTATACTAGTTTGAGAAATAATAAGTAGTTGAACTTCTAACAATTTTTTCCTTATGCGTGGATCCCAAAAGGGTATATTCCTTAAGTGTAAAACTTGTCAGTATTTTGATAACTTTTTGGTAAATACATCAAATCATTGAAGTAATAAAATAGATTATCATTCACAAGGATTAATATCAAATACTAAACTACAAAAATATTACTAGTTGGATCGAAAATAGAGTTGTAATGTGAATTGAAAAATTAACTAAAGTGCAGAATTTAAAAATGTAAATGTTGAAAAACTATAATTAACTATGGAAATGAAAATTCAAATGTAAGAAGCTAATTAATAATGAAACTAAACTGGAATATATAACTAAAGAAGATAATGAAACTGAGCTGTAAATTAATTAAAAGGTAGGTTGAGTTTAGAATTCTTTATCTTTTTTTCTTTGCATAAAATATGTGTATAACCCAAAATACAGCTCAATCTAATGGTCAGGTTTCTAAAATATCAAACCCTAATTCTTTGGTTGATTGGTTCTAAAACACATTTAGCTTCCTAATCCCTTAGATAAAACTAAAAATGTTTAACATTAAGATTAAAACCCAAATGACCACATTATTATAAACTCCTATTCTTAGATAATTTATAATAAACATTTTGATCTCAGTCTAAAAAAATTCACAACTTTTCATCAATCTCATTCACATAAAACAGAGAGACATTAAGTTCAGAATCAAAATATTAGATTAAAGCTTGTATTTCGAATTACATTCCATGCTTAATTCATTACAATGGATAAAAGAATAAGTTCATCCTTCCTTAACCCCAAGATATTTAGTAAGACATAATGGAAATAAAGAAAAATAAATTAAAATATATTGCAGAAAAGGAAATCATGTTCAACAGAAATAGCTTAAGCATAATATAAAGTGTAGGAAGTTACTATTTTATTACAAATTAAGGAGAAAGAAGAGATGTAACCCAACTTTTCATCAAAATCCTATCGCAAAAAAGAAAAAATATCCATTAGCTGACATTCGTACAGAGAACTGTATGAAAATCTAAAATTCTGTGCTCTGAAAACGTAAATATAAAAGTGCAATAAAAGATAAAATGTGTTGTCTTTAGCAGAAAATTTTACTTTTATATGCTCTATCAACATCGTATTCTCACAATCAGAAGTTTATGTCTTCACAAATATGTACTGTAGCAATTTAACTTCTACTCTTTAAATCTAATTGTCAATTTTCTTATAATCTCTTTAAAAATCAAATGTCAATCATTAATATTTGAATAATTTATCAAATTTACAGCAATCAAACATTACATTGAATATTCTAATTAATTACAATAACTTATAGATTTAATTAGGTTAAATGAATCATAAATCTTTTAATTTTCTATGAGTCAATGACTCATCATATTTGCTAGGTTATCAAATGATCCTTGACCATCAAGAGATTGCTTCAGATGCCTCATTTTTATTTTTATTTTTTACAATTTTGTTAGAAAATAATACATCACCTTTAATCTTGTTGAGGAAACACAACAAAAAGAAAAGGAGTTTAGTTATTTATTTTTTAAAAATTCCTACATTGACTCTTATTATTACTAATTATGTGATAATTATAAAAGAATAGCGTTCTTACATTAGCATGTTAAAATTGTGGATGTAATGAAATTCACTTATGTATGTATTTTTTTAATATTAAAATAGACCTTTATTAATTATTACAACTTTGAGTTGCTAATAAAAGTTAGCCACATTAGCATTGCTTGGTAAAATTGCGATACAGTAGACATTTTATTTTATTTTTAAAAAAAGAATGGAACTCTCTTTAGGTATTTACTAAAAGGAACCATTAAGTTTTGCTTTGTTTTGTTAAAGAGAAAAATTAACGGTTTGCCATGGCAGGGTTCTCGATTTGTCATAAGACATAAGGCTTGATCAGGTAAGATAAGAGGAATATTATAAACAAACATGCAATCGAAATTCACTTTAACTTATGCTCTTTGTAAAGAAATTCAACAGAAGACATCAAATCAAATTATATTTTTAATTAAAAATAAACTTATTTTTAAGTTTCTTAATTACATTTTTTTTTATTATGATATTTGTGTTAACAAAATACCCATGTATTATTCATACAAGTGAATATTTATTTATTTATTTTTTCTTATCTAAGAGACTATAGGCTAAATAAATCAATCACTGGGAGCGTAATGAGATTTTATATTAATAGACATTACTTTTAGATTAATATTCATTTATTTAATAAATAAACTATCAATTTAATAAGTTAATAGTATTAATTATTTTAAAATACACTATAAATTTATGATATTTAATTTTTTATTAATTTTGATAAATTATTTATTTATTTATTTTTCAAAAATGGCAACAACTTGTATGGGAAACCATTTATACCAATTGCACAGAAGCAGCACTGAAGATCCATTTGCCAATGCTTCATTTTAAAAAAAATTACTCATGGAAAACATGTCGCAAAAATAAAGCCCCACAGTTGGTACAAAGATCCAAGTGGCACAATTTAGGTGTTGAAAATAACCCCAGAATTCGTTTCTTAAATTTTGCTAGGAAGCATATAATATCTAGACTTATTTTAAACCAACCTTTTTTTATTTATCAACACTAGGAGGAAATTTTGGATTGAATAACAGATATACCACAGGTTCAATTCAAAACCTTTGACTGATTTCTAGAGCGCTACTGATTTCTTTGACAACTTATATCCATGGTACCCGTTGTACAAACAAAAAAGAAAAATATGTTGAAGATCAGGATTCAAATATTTGCCTGAAAATAAAGAAATTGACAATAAAATGGAATAGGAAAGGATAAACTAATAAAAAGGAGACAACGAGTTGTTGGCTCATTCATTTCGAAAGATAAACATCAGACAAGAGACAACTAATTGTTGGCTCATTCAGTTGAAAAGACAAAGGACTAAACAAGAGACAACGAGTTGTTGGCTCATTCACTTTCTAAGATCATCGTATGCTATTGCAGCATCTATATAGATTTACTCGCTATGATGAATATGATAGCAGTTCAATTGACATGATAAGTAAACATTTATTAACACTAATATCTTAGCTAAGCTTCACATTCTAGACAAGGTCAGGTCCATTGCGTCTGCTAGGAAGTCTGCAACCAACAAAATACATGAGCTGTAAGAAACAAGCAAATACAATCTATCTAGTATCGACAAGGAGAGATATCGGAGATGAGTCTAACCTGCATCTTCTTTGCTGAAACATAAAGGGGGTGTAATTCTGAAGACATTTCCGTAGTAACCACCCTTGCCGATAAGTACTCCTAATTCTGCAGTAACGCAGAATGGTCAGTTAGTTATAGAAGAAAAATATGGCTAGAACCAGAGTATTTGAGAGAGATGGGATTTTTACCTTTCATTTGGTCCATTACATGCAATGTTTCAGCTTTTGCTGGTGTTTTAAGTTCGCTATCAGTGACAAGTTCAACTCCAAGCATCAGGCCTCGTCCTCTAACATCACCAATTACTACAGAAAAAACTCAAGTTATTTTGTTTATAAAATTGGTAAAGAAAAACGGGATTGTTTGTGACTCAAATGCTTCTTAGTTAAGGTCCTATGCTTTGAGTAACTCTCTCAAGAAGGAATTTGAATAACAATAAAGGGAAAGGAATAAGAAAAGGGAAAAAATACATTCATATTTGTCCTTGAGAGTAGTGAGCCTCTCTTTCAAATAGGATCCAACCACAAATGCATTTTCTTGAAGCTTCTCTTTCTCTATTACTTTTAAAACAGCCAACCCTGCTGCAGTACTAACAGGATTCCCTCCAAAGGTGTTGAAGTAACTTCGCCGGGTTAGGACCTCTGCAATCTCTGGAGTAGTTACAACAGCACCAAGGGGAACGCCATTTCCAATGCCCTGCAAATTAGAATACAGAATAGGAGATAACACGAGTCATGGATAAATCGGAGGAGGCATTCATAACAAGGCAACAACAAATCACAATTAAAAATGATTATGCCTTGTTTTCATTTTATGAACAGATAAAAGTATTTTTGGCGCATATTCTATGGTAGTAGAACAAGTATCATTAATCAACTTAACCAGTCTCGTATAAACCCCAAATACCGATAGAAAGTTACCTTAGCCATTGTCACAATGTCAGGAACAACACCGTGGGCCTCAAATCCCCAGAAATGGCTACCAGTGCGAGCAAAGCCAGCCTGAACCTCATCAGCTATAAAAAGTCCTCCGGCTTTTTTAATGGTGTTGTACACAGCAGGCAAGTAACCAGGAGCCAATTCAACAATGCCCCCCACTCCCTATCACAAACAAGAGCAGTATCAAGGTGTGTTAAATTCCTTTATTCTCTTAATCAATATTTAATTTATTACTCAAGGATGGTTTTAGGTTTAAAACAAATAACAAAAAATACTTTATCACACTAGGTGAAGTAGACTGCTTTAAAAAAGAAAAAATAAAAGAAATGTGGATCTGTTTATATGCATTTAGCTTGATACCTGTATTGCTTCAGATATGAAGGCTGCAACATTTCCAAAAGTTCCGAAGTTAATGATATCTTGGACATCTCTTGCATACTTCTCTCCATCAGAACCGAAAATGCCTCTATAAGGGTCTGGATTTAGTGCATGATGAACACCACTCTATGGGCAAAACCAACACAAAAACGCATAAGGAAAACAGTAGTATACATTTTAAATTCACACCGATAGCAAATGCTTGAGGATTACAACAGAAAAGACAGCAATAAAAGGTTTAAAAAAACATATTGTAGGTTAATTAAGTTAATTGTGATTAAATGGTTCGTTTTAATTTATGATAAAATTATATAATTTTTTTTTAACGCGACACATTGTCGTTTAACAAAAAAGAACTTGGAACAGACGATCACCATTAGAAAATTATTTAATGCAATCAGTTAATTAATTAATGAAAGAGTAATGAAATTAAATATAAATTTTAATTATTACATTAAATGAAAGTCTATCGAACTTAATTTAATAGTAGCTAGGAAGAAAATACATTACTTCAGGATAAATGAGAAAAGTACCGCTACTAAGCATGATAATATACATGGAAATATTTCGAAATTATCTGTGAAGTCCTAAATTTGATTATTGAGGTACAAGGGGAACCAACTATTTGCTTGGCGTTAATATTGGTATGAAATTGTGTCAAATTAAAATGATAGGGAATATATTATATTTGTTTAATCAATTATACCGAATTTAAACAAACCAAATCAGACACCACGTAGCCCTGATTTTATTTGCTCAGGGGATGATGGTCCACACTTTCATATCTTGAAGTAGACGGCACTTAGCAATGATTTGGAACGTTAGTTTCGATTGCAAAGTAATAAAGTCCATTTGAAACGCTAATATCCCTTTCGTGGATGACATATGGCCACATTTGGGTTCCTAAACAGCGTTGATGTACGTGGAAAGTTGAGTTAAAATATGAGTTTGCTACCATGATGAGACAATCAAGTCAACTAGATCATCAATTAGTCGACTGATATATGGTCTGGTTGATTTTTAAAATAATATCTATCAAACAATGAAATTTTTATTTATTTTTATTCTGTAGAAAGCTAGCATCTGGCTACCCGTGACCCATCCACTGTAGCTAAACAGTTTTCATGTGTTTGAATAGAGTTATTTTGCTATAAAAGACATATACGTGGTGCAGATTAAAAGTATTTTTAATTTAGTTTTCCTTAAAATTACTTGTTTTCTTTCTGTTTTTTATTTTCGGAAAAACATATCTCTAGTTATCTGTTTATTTAAAATTTAAAATAATATTAATTGCTGACCTTTAATTATGTACTTTTTTAACTTTATTTTTAAATACTTTATATACCTAGTTAATTATATCATAAATGATGATATTAATTATATTCTTTGATCTGTGTATTATTCTCTACCAGATTTTATGAAAATAGAAGAGCAAATCCATAAAAAAATTAAAATGAAAATATTTTAATGTTTGTACCTGTACTACATTGAATTTCCAGATGCTTTGAGCTGTGGCCCCCATCGTCCCAGCTGCATTTCCGTGATAAGCATTCCTTAAGGATATTATGTCATGGCACCCAGTGTACAACTTTGCTATCAGTATCGCCAATTCGTTTGCTTCTGTTCCAGAGTTTGTGAAAAACACCACCTACGTATGGTAATAATAAAAGACAAATTATTTATATTTCAAATCAAAATGATTAAATAAATAGATATAAATATTATTAATAATTCCGTTCACGAGGCTCCTTTCACTCAGCATCAAATTAAAAGGCTGCCGAATAAAAGTAACTAATATTTAAACATTATCTTGTAAATTTATAACACTAGTAATTTCAAACGTGATTCTCTGATTAAATTGAGAAATATATGGTTATGCGAAAATCATAAGTTACCAAATATAATGAAGTATATTCTTAAATGAATAAATTTAATCACATTAAATAGTTTTTGTATGCATTACAAATAATTAGATTATGCTTAAAACTGTTTATGCACATCTCGATTAATTTACATCATCAATTTAGTCTAAAGAAAATTTTCAAATTAAAATTTAAAACTATGAAAAATAAAAATATTGCAGTAAGCCTCTAATAAATTAACCAAATTAAAACTTGAATTTATAAGAATGCCCAATTCTTTTTTCACATATTTATGTTATTATCCCAAACCGATATTTAATAAATTGCAATGTAGTTTAAATACAAAATACTTTTTAATAAAGTCCAACATGGTGATAATGGAGAGTTTTATTTTATTTTTCCCGGTGAACTAAACATGGATTGGTTATATATCTGTCATCTGACAATGTCCACGCATTATTTATTATTTGGTACTAAGCCATGTGCTAGCATCAATGCCACTCACACCATGAATGGCATCTCAATCCCATGAACCACGTCGACACATTATAAATTGCCAAAGAAAGCAATATTTTACAAATAAAAGCCAAAACTCTACCTAAATCATTAGAACATGCCCCTCTCTTTCGATAGTGACTTAGGTGGCATCTGCTCCACAAACTATGATCATTTAACATTTAAAGAGGACTGTTTCTTTTGTCACAAAAAAATGTTTTATTTTAGCGACACGTGTGCCCGGGTTAACACGAAGAGATTGTTTAAAGGATTTGAGTAGTAGTTCTGTACCTTATAAGGATTACTAGACTTACGTAAACTAACAAGGTATTATTAAAATTTAAAAGCCAGTTACAAAAAACTTGGTTCATAATTTTACGTAGTTTTGATTCGCTTTTCATTCTTTTTCTTTCTAAATGTTTTCAAAAACAGTTTTATTGACCCCCTGACTCCAATGTTTCAGATGAATAATTCATTATTCATACCAACCTTGATCTTAAAATAAAAAATATAACTGTTTTCTCTCGAACTATTAATTTAAGTTCCGCCACATTTTAATAAAGGAAATTACCATGTATTCCTCTATCTTGTAAGTTGGAATACAATTATTGTCATAATTTTATCTTACCAAATTTATAAAATAAAATAAAAAAAGGAATTATTCACTGTTAACATTGAAGGTAACATTTCTCTGTCACGTTTGTCATTATTTAAATCACAGAAACGTTTAGGCAGGTGTGCTCTTCATTTAAATAAAAATAGAATCTTTAATTATGCATTTAATAAAAAATTTGATGTGATTATACAATTATTAAAAGAAAACTAGAAACTTCCAAAATGTCCGTTTTAGTATTCCAAAAATAAAATCTATAATATAAAATCCAATTTTCATTTTATAAAAAAGATAATTTTTAAAACAAATTATACATTAAAAATTACCTTTTAAAAATGTATCTACTTAATTAAGCATTCCATGGAACTTATTGTTGATCCGTTCTCCATACAAACATAAAGCTATATTGTTTATTTTCTTGATATTACCTATGTCTAAATGTTATATTACACTTCTAATTAACTCTCAGTCAAATAAAATATTAAAAAAATCATAATATAAGGATATGTTTGTTTTTCATTTTTAAAATTTATGTATAAAATTTATACTATATTTAAAAAAAATTAAAAACTCTTTTTAAAAGAGAAATCAAACATATCCTAAAATTATACTTTTTAATTACTTTTCTATACACGATTTAAATCTAAAACACTTAGTTAGAATAAGTTAAATATCAATTAAAATCACTCTGGACATTCAAATACACGTATGCCGTTTTACAGTATGCTTTTTACTGAAAGAGAGCAAGAACTGTTCTGGCAAAACAGAGAAATGACAATAACGGGGACTTCATTTCAGTTTCGTCTAAATTTCTAAAAGATTAAAATATTTTTAAAAATTAAAATCATCAATAAATTTAAAAAAAAAAAAATTAAAACTAATGGAAATTTTTAAAAAATTAAAGTGACATTTTTTTTTTCAAAAAATAGTCGTTTGTAATCTTTAAAAAATTTTCATCTTGTAATTTTTATCCAAAATTTTATATTTGAATAACTTTTTTATATATTTAAGAAAAAAGGCCCCCAGACACTTTCTACTTATTTTTTCCAAACAAAAAAGTATCAAGGAGGAAAGGAGACACACCTTGAGATTACCGGGAAGCTTGGAGGCCAAAGCCTGAGCGAAATCAGCAATGGCGTGGTTAAGGTAAAGAACCGTGGAGTGCTGCAACCGTTTACTTTGGTCAACTATGGCTTCCACCACATCAGGGTGACAGTGCCCGCAACACACCGTAGCAATCCCTCCAAACGCATCCACGTACCTCCTCCCCTTCTCATCGAATAGATACTGCATCCTACCCTCCACTATGTTCACCTGCACCCCACCACACACAACCATTTCTTTCTATCCATTTATTCAAAAATAAAGTCTAATTATTCAATATTTAATATTTCGTAAATAAACCTCTAATATTGAACGGTCGTTAACTTTTGTTACTAAATGTGCACCGTTTTTTTCTTTTCGCAACGTACTTTGTGAAACACTTTCAAATTTCGTAGACTTAAATTGCGAGAGTTTTGTGATTAAGTTTAATTAGTTATTTAAGAATTTAGTGAAAATAGTAATGAGTATTGACTACTCTGATATTTAAAATAATTTGATAAAAAATAAATAATCATCATGATGTTAGAGAAATGATCGTGTGCGGCGCAGACTCACGGGGGTCTTGTAGAAGTGGAAGAGGGAAGGGCTAAGATACTCCTTGCGCTTCGCCAGAATCTCGCCGGCGGTGGGTCCCGCATACGGCGGCGGGGAGTAATCGAACGACGGAAGCTCCAGGGCGGCGACGGCATCGTTTTTGGTGTCTGCCGACGCCTGAGAAAAGTAGCTTCGCCAGCGAAGCGGCGGCGGTCGTCTCTGCAAGAGCTTCTTCGCTAAGGAAATCATCATTTCTGCTTCGTCCAAAGGAGAATCCCGGCGATGTGATCGGGTAATGGAGAAACCGACCCGACCCGTGTTGATAGGGAAAAGAGTGAAAACGAGAACGACAGGGTACGAAGAATGAATCAGGAATGGGAGAGGGTTATATAGCGGAAGAAATGCGAGGGGTGATGACGTGGAGAGAATGGATTGGGTGAAGAATTTGCTTTTATTCTCAAACTAGGTTAAAATTACGGTTTTGGAATTCACTCTCCTAAAATTGGTTTTTGTCTATCTTCGATGATATATTTACCTTATATTTACTTTACCTTGCATGGTTGGAATTTTGCTGGGAGTTGGGCAAAAAATTTCGTTATGCAATTTCAATCTATAATTAAGAGTAAATTAGTGTTAAAAAATTAGATTAATATTAAATTAGCTTTTTATTTATCATATTTTTTAATCAATTTAATATTTTTAATTCACTTTATAAAATTAGATTCTTCTTTATTAATCTAAATTTATATTATGCATAAAGACACTGCCACACTCTTTATTTATAAAACTTCTATGTTTTACGATTAATATTTTTTTAATCTTAATTCTTCTAATTAAAATTAAATATTTAAAATAATATTTTTTTAAATATAATTATTATATGAAAGACATAAAAACATAAAAATTATTTTTAATTAATTATTACTATTATTTTTGTATTTAAAATTATATGTTTAAATTTTAAATTATTATAAATAATATTTTTATTATTTTATAATATTAATATCTTTTTAAAGTTTTAACTCAAATTTTTATCATCGAATTTTTTATTAAAACTAAGTTAAAAAATAATAAATATTTTATAAAAAAATTTAAAATATAATATAATTAATAAATATTACTAAAAAAATATAAAAATATACTAATTTAATGCAAAGGTGTAGTACAATAAGTTAACTTGACATTTAAAACTAATTTTATAAATGTATTAAAAATTATTTTTTCTTTAAAATAAATTTAAAACTAAATTTAAAATTAATTTAACTTAACACTACATCTAAAATTAATTTAACATAAAATATTAGATTTAAAACTAGTTTAAACTAAAACCAAATTTAAAATAATTTTAAACCAAATCTAAAATTTTAAACCAGTTTCAAATTATTTTAAAAAAAATAAATAAATTAGTTTAAAATTTAATCTGTATAATTAATTTATATGATAGATAAATAATATAAAGTACAAAATATAAATTTAATTTTAATACAATATGAATGTACAAAAACTATATTAATAATTTATTTAAATATGTTTTACATTAATTATTATAAAATTTATTTTTAATAATAAAAATTTAATAAATAAAAATATTTTATTAAAATCTATAATATTGACTATTATTAATGATTTAAATTTTAAGATATTATGTGATTTAAAAAAATTGTTATTCCAAAATTTTATTAAACATGTTAAAAAATAATTAATTTTTATTAATATTTCATATTTTAGAATTTAGGATTGAATATTTTGTAAATTAATATAAAATACATTTAAAGTTACATAATTATAGAATTGTAATTAACTTTATTTAATGCATTTATATATATAACAAGTTTTATAAAATTTAATATGTTAATAATATAATGTTACAATTTTTAATTAAAATATATTGTTTGTTAAAGGTCATGTATGTTTGGATTGATAGAAAGAAATCGAGTAAAATGGATTAAAAATTAAAGTAAAGTAGAACTAAAATTTTATTTTATTCTTTGGATGCATTGCTGAAACAGAAATTTTGTTTCATTCCTTAGATAGTGAATGAAGTAATGAAGTATAGTGAATGGAGGTATTTTTTTTCTTATAATATATTTATTATAAAAATGTGTATTTTAATTTAATTTGATTTAATCATGTTTGTAATTCTTATAAATATTAAACAGTTTATAATAAGTTTTTATAAATTTTTTTATTAAGATTTAATTCTTAAAAAGTTAAGAAGTTAGGATTTAATTTTTATTGATAACTTCTGACTACTAAGTATTAAGTTAATTGATGAAGAATTAATATTCTTATATGTTATGTTACTGTCATTTATTTTTTTAATTTTTTATTATTTAAGATTAATAATTATAAATAAGTCTCTAAATATATTTTATATATTTGTAAATAAGTAACTTTCTTATTCTCCTTCTCCCGCCTGTCCATCCTTTTTCTCCTCTTTCCTCTTTTCTCTCTCCACACTCCATTTTAGATAAATTGTCATTCACTAGATCGTTGCAATTTTGTAAAATATGTTTAAGAACTTATTTATAAATATTAATTTTAAATAATAAAAAATTAAAAAACTTAAATGACATGTCACATTCTACCACTTAAGAAAGTTTGATTCTTTATTAGTCAATTCAGCACTTAACAGAATATAATTGACGGTAGAAATTAAATCTTAATTTCTTAATAGATTAAATCCTACCAAAAAAAATTATAAGGATTTATCGCAAAATGATCAATATTTACAAAGATAAAAAATAAAATTAAGCTTTTTAACTTTTATTCTTTATCGTATTATAATTTAAAAAATTATTATTATCAAATAAAAATAATTATACATATAAAATAAATTAAAATCCTTCATATTTAATAGTTTTCTCTCTTGTACAATTGAGTGCCACTTTGCAGAGTTTTTTAAACATCCATTTTGAGTAACTGTCATTAAGGTTCCTTTCATTGCTCAACAAGCTTAGGATGAAAGATCAGTTGGAAGAAAGATTTTCCTCTAGAAAATTAGTTTGGTTTGCAAGAAAGGGCATAAAATGGATGGAGGTAGTCTCATTCAAAGCTCATCGGAAAAGGACGATTGGGCCAATTAGAGTCTCAAGAAGGCAAAGACTAGTTAAGAAAAAAATGAAAAAAGATCAAATCAACTCAAGTGAAGTCTTGATGAAAAAAATTTCTCAAAAAACCTTGGATCTAAGTTCTCTAAAGAGGGGGACTTGAAGAATCAAACCACTAAGAAAGCTAAATCCAAGGATAGAGACACCGAAGAGATGACGAAGGGTCTAAAAGTGAAGCCCTATTCTTCAAACTAAGTGTTTTCTTCCTTGAATAATAATGAGAATGTTAAGTTTAGGTTATATAAAGATAGTCTTTTAGCCTTGAATAATATGTATTTGTGTTTCAATCATAATAATATAATCTCCTCTACAAAGGATGACTTCAACACTCACAATCTACATTAATAGTTAAAATATCTAGAACATAAAGTTAAAAATATTTGGAGAGAGGATGTGTAATTAAATGTGTTAGAGTTAAATAATGAAATTTTCTTGGTTCACTCTTTTTATATTGTAGATTATATAGTAGCTTTATTCAATAATTCTTGGTTAGTTTTAGATCATTAATTGTTTGTCCAAAGAATCTTTCTTTAGGATTAGAGAGCAATCAGTTTAGGAAGGTGGCTATATTGATTAGAATTCTAGATTCATGTATGAATTACATAATGGAAAATTCATATAGCAAACTGGTTCTACTTTAGGAACAATGCTAAAATTTTATTCTCACACTTTCATACTGTCAAGGGTAAAATTCAAGGTCTAAATTAAACAAAACTAAAAGTACAAGGGATAAAACACATTTTCTCCTTTGTAAAATAGAATATTTATATCTAACAAATTATCCATATGAGAATCATACAAGAGTTGACAGCAAAATTAAATGTCTCAATAGAAAAATGACTTTTTCACACAATTTGATAAGTATAAAGTGTCACGTTGCTCAATTAAAAAATTCAAAGTTTAAATTACATATAATTAAAAGTACATTAGAGTAAAATGGCCCTTTCCCCCATAATTTATTATTAATAAGTTGTCATGAAATCTTTTAAATAGACCCTTAGTCACATGAGTGATAAATTATCATTTTGCCATTTTATCTAGGAGAACCATTTTATTATTATAATTGATGTTTATCCTTTACACTAACTAAGTTTCTCTTAATTTGATCATAAGAAGTGGTGACAATGCAATTTAGTGAAGTCGAACTAAATCATAAAGAAAAGTTGTATAAAAGAATAAAAAATGTATAGAATTCGTAAAGGTATCAGACGAGCATGCTCTTGTTAACATCAGCACACCCTGCAATGACTAGACAAACCATTTGAAGAGGGCATGCTTAACAGTAATACACAATATGCTACTTTCTAGTGAGCATGATTATGGCTATTATCTGCATGTTCCGTGCTAAACAAATAGACTTGTATGTTTAGGGTGTGTTTAGGAAGAAGACGCCTTGGCTAAACATATGAATCCTTTGACTAGGGCGTACTTAGGGGGAATACGTCCCGTGCTGAATTGTTGACTTCTCTGTCCAGTGTATATTAGTACCGTCAAATAAAAAGAAATTTTAGGGCTGTCATAGGAATCTCTTCTACTTTTGAATTTTGAACTAATTTTTACAATTCTTCTTCCTCTTCTATCTCCTCTCGCTCAAATCCTAAGCTTTCCACTAAAAATTCTTCTATTCACATCATCTCCCTCTTCCATTCCATTCGTCACCTCTACGTAATCTTTAAGAGATAACATTCTCCATTGTATATTTCTTATGCTTTTAACAATATAATCATATGTAACTAAACACTCTTTACCATAAGATTAAGGTGGACACTTATGATATAATATTTTTTAATTTTATTTTAATTTTATGATATTGATGTTAGTTATTAATAAAAATTATTATTATTATTATTATTATTATTATTGACTTATCATTCAAGAGTTAATCTTAGTTAATCTATTAATAAAAAATTATATTATTAATAGATTAATAAAATTAAAAAATAATTTAAATTTATAAGTTGTGAAGAGCAATCTTTCACTTGATCTTTTATCTTTTAATCAGTTAATTAAATGATTTACATTAATATTTTAAATAGAATTAGAATGATCAATTTTAACACTTATAAAAACCAAAATGACTTTTATTCTCAAACTCTTAATTTTGTAAAAATATAAATTTTATGTGTTTGATCCTTGGAAAATATTGTAATATTAATTGTGTTCCTTATTTAAAAAAAATGTCATCAAGTAAATGACTGAACTGAAAAGGATGTCAGTCTTAATTTATTTTATAATAACTTTTACAAAAGAAAGATGAAACAACAGAGCTAAGCATCCAATTCATTCCACCATAGCTAGATAACAATTTTACTATAATCAAGATGGTGTTGGCACATGGACCTACTATTATATTATATATCACTGTTTGTAAATTGATCGATGACACGGGTGATCATGATCGCACATTGCAGTACCCAATCCTTGCAAGAGGAGAATCTTATCTTGCTAACACCATTCAGATCCCTTGTGTGGCGTGTAGTTTATCTTATCTCTTGATATGAATCATGAAATTTCTAGGTGCTTCCGCAGCTTATAAAGAATTTGCAATGTTCTTATGCATTATGGAAACATAGGGATCCACATAAGATAAAAGCAAACTTTGAAATGACATAAAGTAATAATCATAGAAAAATAAAATTGTAAATGTGTTGGAGCCCTTTTTAATATATAATTTTAAAATAAAACTTCAAATTCGATTTTTATGTATATAAAATTTTGTTAAAAAACCAATTTTATTATATGTTAACTGTTGTCCCTAACGCAAATACAACTTTTTATTTCATAAAAGATTATATATCCAGACAAAAACGAAAAAAAGAAGCTTTTTGCTATACTGCAAGTGACATTTCAGACCATTTTAGGATCCTCAAGTTAAAAATATACAGCAAACGCGACAGGGAAAACACACTTGTTTATGGTGGAAAACACGTGTTTGCCAAAAGGTGTATAACATAATATTACTAGTACCATATACTTGTTTAATTAAGACAAAATTAACAGGAAATGTTTGAATCTTTGCAATTCGACACATGTGTTGATATAAAGGAGGGATTACCGCTTCGTGTAACACGTCAATTTTTTATTTATCTCAAATGTGTTTAGACAACTATATATTTAATTGCATATTTAATATTTTTTAAATAATAACTTTAAAATGATTTATTTTGATAAATTAAATAAAAATACTTCTGAAAATAAATAAAAAACAGCACGTGAGAATTATAAATTTTTTTTATGAGTTATAGATTATCAAGTTCTAATTAGTTACATTTAATTTTGACAGAATTTAAATTGATATGATAAAATATTTTATCTTATCATAAATTTTTTTTACTAAAGATATCATCATAAATTAATTAATCCAAATTTATTTGAACTTAACTTGAATGTAATGTAATTGTATTAATATTCGAAAGAGAGAATATGTGTATACTAAATAAAAAAAACCTAAAGATTAATGTTAATAAAACTAATATAAGTTGAATCTGATAAAAAAAAGATACTTAATACTTTTTCTAAAACAAATGGTAGGCATTGATCCAAACGAATATCCTACCATAATCTTTGTTTTGTCGATTTTTTTTTAAACTTATCATCCATGCTCATGTGATGTGACCAGTTCTTATTTTAAAGTATAAATACATATTTGTCAATAGTACATTGGATATTCCAAAATCAACAAATTTAATGTCCAAAGCACGAGTGTTGCAAGATAGATAGTGTGTAACTGCACCAATTTTGGATGATGATGAAAAGACTTATCAATGCAGTTGAAGGGCGGGGATTAAGCTCTAATCAAATCCTTTGTCAGAAGTATCAACAAGATTTGTGTCTAAATATTTTGGCAGAGACATCAACAATCAACATTTGTGTATATTGTGGCAAAATGAGACACAAATGAGACATATTACAAGAAACACAAGTATTCTCTCATTTTAAACAAGATAGTTTTGCTAGTAATGTTATAAGAAAAAATAGTGATATAAAAATAAGATATAATTTATGTGAAAGATTAAAAACTATATTAGCATCTTCTAAATTTGTTATAGAATGACGAGACGTCAATAATATGCACAATGTCAAGCAAACAACCACAAGATCAGTTGATTCTAGTTCCAAAGGGAACCATTAGATCACGACTAACCTCGTAACCTTAGCTCAACTCGGTGAAAAATTTATAGAATTGTTTAAGAAAGATTAATAATATCTTTCTTTTCTTTTTTCGCTTAAAGTTCAATATATTACTTATACTAATGCGTAGGATCCTCTTATAATAAAAATCATAATTTATAGGCTACTCTATTTAGGAATCAATCATTATTATTTTAATAATGTTAAAATTAGTGACCTTGTATTTGATTTCATTTTTCGTCAAGTTTCTTCTGATAAATCATATTTATCTTTTAATTTAAAATTCACATTAATTTTCTTTTCTATGTAAAAATTTCTCCTTTTCCTTCTATTCAGATATTTTTATTAATTTATCCCCCCTTAACCAACATTTTACTTTATTAATTATTCCTTTTAATGATTACAAAATTTAAAACAATTTCCATTTCTTTATATTATTATTTAATTAAGACCTGTTTTTATTTATACTAAAAAATTATCTTTTGCGCAATAAATACTTTAATAAATTTGGATGTCAACATAATATTTACACACGATAATACTTCAAAAATTGTCATAAGAAAATGCATCAAATACGTGAGAATAATCAAAACATGAATTTTAAAGGGATTCCATGAGAATCAAGTCACTAATATAGTTGTTTATACTCAACAGAATCTTCATCACTGGTCCAAAACAGGGAAGAAGGGCACAAAAGGCCAAGCAGCTTATAGAAAACTAAGGCTCATCAAGAATCGTTCGTGTTGACCACAACTTCAAATTGTGAACTATATTCAGCTAGCTAAATTTCAAGCAGTGTAACTGTTTACACAATTTCACTGGGAAAATGATATATTAAAAAAGCTTTGCCATATCTTCTAATAATCATCTTCCTGCTGTTTTATAAAGTAAATATTAACTAAAAATTATTTATTATTGCATTGAAAGTATAAAATACATTAGGAGTAGGTTCATTTAGTAATTAGAAGGATATGTAGGAATAAAGAGTAGGAGAATTTAGAATTATTTATATTAAAATTATAAAAAGCATGACAACAAGAACAATAGCATTTTTCTCATGGTCTAAATGAGGAGGCACTAAGAGTGTCTGAATGTAAGATTAAGACGGCCAGGACGAAGCCAAGTATCTTCAAGCAAGTCCTTTGGTGCTGAATTTGGTAACACTGATGACACACCATGGAAGACAAGTCTAGATTCGCCACCAAATATCAACACATCTCCTGATTCTAGAAGTACCTTCTCTGCCTCCTCAACATTCCTTTGATCCCCATAAAGAAATTCTGCAGTGTCACCAATGGAGAAGGACACAACCGGCAACCCTTTTCGGAGACTTTCTCTGCTTTCATCGCGATCCTGCGCCAAACAGAAGCATGAGGAAGTTTGTGAATCATTCTTAAATATTGAAAGATGGCAAACAAAGAAATGGACGAAATAAAAATTTCAAACAGCCAGATAGTGTAGGAAGTGTAAGAGCTAACCTGATGAAGACCAAGATTTCCCCTGGTTGTGTAAGAATTGACAATGCATATATCAGGAGTCATTGAAGGAAGTATGTCCTCCCCATTCCATAGTCTATATTCCTCCTTAATTAGAGAATGTGCATCTTGGATTGCTCTTATAACCAGCTCACTGAAGTGATTGGGAATACTAGGTGGTTCGGTACCATCAATTACACGTTTATTTCCATATTTTCTGGTTTGAGGATCCCAGTCCATACCAAGACACATCATCTTCAATCGAAGTTTGGCTCCAGTTGCATAACCTGGTTGATAGAATCCTCCAGGACCCAGACCCAGCTCACGACAAGTTTTCACTATTTCCACCTAAAATCATTACAGAAAACAGTAAAAGAAAATATGGAGTCAACAATCAGGACGCCGGGGGGGGGGGGGGGGGGGGGGAGAGAAGAGACATATAAATGCAATAAAAATTGAGAGAAAATAGCAAACAAAGGAGTAGACTGCTTGCATCGTATGTCTCATCTTAGCCACAGAGTGGCTAATTCTGCTAAAAATATCTCCTACTAATGTCCTAGTGATTGCTGTGAAATCATATTAATCAGAAACAAAACAGCACCATGCATAGATTGAAGCAAGTGAAAATAAAGTACCTGCTCATCATGTGTTAAGTAATGTTTCAAGAGAACCATCCCTGGCCTCAGTATCCCCTCTTTGGTCCCTCCATCATCCATCTCAATGTAACTTTCCTTGTTCTCTCCCTGCACTGAAGCTTCTATTACGGCAGAATTTCTTCTTCTACGAAAGCAGATATCATATGGTTGGAACTTTGGCATACTAATTGATGAATATAACTTGTGACCAGCTGCTGCATAGCTTGAATTACAATGGCTATTATATGGTCTATTGACAGATGCAGCTTTCTTCTTCCAAGAATGACTCCCTAGGGGTGATTCATCTCCGTGCTTTGTTAAGTTAGTTAAACTAGTGTTTTCAAAACTGGAACAACAACTAGGTTTACGACAGTTATCTCCACTGGCCTGGGTCAATTCTTGGTCAACTTTAGCTATTTTCTTGAATTTTCCATGTTCAAAACCAGTAGTAGTTGGTGAAGGTAACCCAGGGAGTTTGTTAGTAGATGATGTGGAACTAGTTGACACAGAGTGTGAATAATTCACCATATTATTATTGCGCAGGGTTGAACGGATAGTGCCAAACAAAAGATATTCATCATCGTCATGAGAAGTATCTGATAATAGTCCACCTGCCATAACCTGCATTTGAATCATGGAAAATTAAAACTAAACAAAAGCAATCAGTTAGTGTTGACTAAAATTTAATCTTAAGAGCAGTGGGGAAAACCAATACAGGTTTTATTGAAGCCTGTGAATTATATCCAAATCAGGTTAAATTGCTCACTTTCACAAAATCAAAATTTAATTTCAAATACATCCAAATCAGGTTTTATTGAGACACATGAAATTTAACGAGTCACTAAATTTACCATTGCATTACAAAAAGGAAGCATAATCACTTGTTACTCAATGCTCACTTGAACTAAGTAACACAAGCACGATCATCATGTGGTTACAACAATCATAATAACAATGAACATGCCCAACTTAACAATGATGAGAATATCAAGAATCAGTTGTAATAATATTGCAAATTACTACTAATAACATAAATTTGAACCGATAAGAAAAGTTGGCTTTGTCTCCTTAACGCAAACAATGATACTGAGAAAGACCATATTTTTTTATTGCTCGGGGCAAAGTACTCAATCCACTCATTTACCTTTGCTGACTGATTAGACATCCGGCAATATACTATTTTGGTCTTTCTATTAGAAATAATTATTATATTTTTTATATTCTTATTTATTGTGAATTTTGTATTAATGAGATATTTACTTATTATTTATATAAGTAGTTCTACTCATTCATTTAATATATAAATAATAATTTAACCATTTAATGATATAAATATTTTTAAAATACAAAATAAATGTATGACATATAAGTACTTTTTATTGGTCATAATAAATTAGTTATCTATTTTCTTATAAATAAAACCAAAAAAAGTAGTACAACTTAACACACTCAAAGAATAACCCTTAACATATATACTAATTAAACACTACCATTCAATAAAATCCTTATCGCTAATAAAATAAAATCTAAATACAAATTAACCACAACAGTTAAATAAAACCTTATTGCTTATCCAATACTTCCTCTAATCATATTTTTTAAAAATAAATAAATAATTTTATAAAATTAATAAAAATAGTTATATATCATAAATTTATATTATATTTTAAAATTACTGATTATATTATTTCATCAAATTAATGTATATAATATTAAATAAATATATCTACTTGTATAAATAAAAGGTAAGTACATCGTTGACACAAATTTTATGTAAATAATTGTTTAGATGATAGGTGAAATAGAAAAAAAAAATAAAAAATAAAAGAATAAAAAATAGAATGAGAAAATGTAGTACTTAAATGAGTTGACATAGGAGGAAGGACAAAAAAAATCATCAACTTATTTAGATGAGTGAAAAAAGAGAGTAAAAGAAAATAATTATTAAAGTATATTAAAGATAATCATAAAAACTTTAACCGATTAAAAATTTTAAAATTTTATTATAACATGTTTTATTAATAAAAAAAATTATTTTTCGTGTTTTTATATTTTAAAAATTATATAAATATTATTAATTATTAATAATAAAATAAAACAAAAAGAAAAAAGAAAATCTACACCTTTCTTACCTCTTCACGTCCTTCTCCAAATTAGAGAGATTTTTTAATGATGGAACCTATAAGTTAAATCTTTTTCTCTTCTCTGCCTCCATCCTAACATCCAAACCTCGTTCCCCACTTATTGGACTAAATTTATGGTGTTGTTTACGTGATTTATCAATTAAAATTATACTTCTATAAATAAAAAATTATATTTAATATTATCAGATATTATTATAACAAAACTCTAATTTTAATTGATAAACCGTATCAAGAGTACTTAAAAATTACACTTAAATATTTTATTCTTATTATAATAAAGGAGATCAAAGATACTAATATATAAATACTAATTAAACACTACACTTAAATAAAATCCTTGTCTCCTATAAAAAAAACCTAGGTAAAATAAATAAAATCCTTGTCTCCTATGAAAAAAACCTAGGTAAAATTTACTGCATACAATACTCTGTATAAATTTATTTTTATATTTAAAGAATCTAAAAAAATATATTTATTCATCCATTCTTAAACTATTTATGTATTTATTATTAAATGATCCTCTAATTTAATATTTATTCTTCTTCAAAGACTTTTCTGTAATAAAAAAATATTAAAAGACTTTCTTACGATAAAAATAATTAGACAGTACGCTTAGATAAAATCCTTTTCCCTCATCAAATAAGGTATAAACTCTAAAAAAACAATCTATAGAAATTAAATATTAGAAACTAAACCAAAACACAGAGATCCACGTCGTCAAATCCTAATCCTAGTCAAAAACTAAAATCAGATTAAAAAAGAAAAACTCGTAATTAACATAAATAAAATGATTATTTAAATAAGAGAAATTTGTTAAGTCATACTTACAGGGTTTTTGTGAGCATTAGACTTTGAAACAGTTGGCAATTGTTCCGCTGGTGAAGACTCAGTGGTAGAATTCACGGTTTTGGCCATCGCGTTCGAAGGTGGCGAAGCGGTGAGAGAGAAGGACGAAACGACGATGTGAGAGGGATGGCGCTTGAAGCAAGCACGGATGGCAATAAAAGGGGAAAACATGATGAGGCAAGTTTCAGTGAATGCGAGGAACAGAGTTTGAGAAAGTGGTGGCTGTGACCGAAGCGACACTTTGGACTCTGTTTTGGTGCTGACGTTTTGCTCGCACGCCGTGACCCTCTTCCTTCCTTTGCTATATACGCTTCATTTCAAACGGTGCCTGTTTGAAAATTAGATTCTTTTTATTTTTATATTATTATATTATTGCTAATCTTATTTTAAAATTATTTATATTTAAAATTTTGAAAATATAGAGAAAATAAATAATATTATTTTTTATTTTAATAATGAAATTGTTATAAAGAAAACAAAACATAAAGTTAAACAGATAATTAAGACATAACTCGTATATGTTTTCTTTTTTTATATTTTTTCTATTTTTATTTTTATTTTTTAAAATTTTATTATTATTTTTTAATTTTTGTAAATTTTTTGTTTTAATTTTTATTAAAAATTATAAAATTAATAAATAATAAATTTGTATTAAAAGTTGTAGCATTTTAATAGTATGAATACAATAAATTATGTAAAATTTAATAAAAATTTTCTATAAAAAAAAATTCTAATTCTTTTTATAACAAATAAATAACTAGTATATACTAAAATATTTATACTAATAAATAGTCAAATTAGTTAGCTATAGTCGCAACTACATGGTCATAATGGTACGATAAAAAATATTTTTAAGAAAAATATTTTTTTAAATTTCAGAGGAGTCGCTATCAAAGTTTATTTTAAGAAAATTTTGAAAAAAATTTAAAATAATATGATTTTTGAAACTAAAAATGAGTTCGGAGTCATTTACTTGTAAGGAAGATATTAGCACTTTACAACGTCTATTTAAAAACGGTTACCTAAAATTAATTGTGCAAATTCATTTCAATTTTAAAAAATATTTATTTAACCCCTAAACATTAATTATTTTTATTTTAGAAGAAGAAAAAATTATTTATTAAAATGATAACTTAGTATCTTAAAAAAAAGTATTTTAAAAATTATTTTGACTTTAGGGTTTGGTTCTCGCTCTTACGTATCTCCAGGTGTAATAAAAACTCAAAGCTACACAATTTTATCTAAAATTTACGAAGTTAGTTGATTAACATTAAGTTTAGTAAAAGAAAATTTATTTTAAAATTAAATTATTTTCATAAAATTATAATATTTAGGATATAAGATAACGCAGTTATACATGTACCTTACGAAAAATAATATATAAAGTGAAGGAAAATTACATAACTGTATTGCAAATCGTTAAAAATATTTTATTCGTAAATGAAGTATTTGAATTTGAATTTTAATTACGAATTAATGTTGAAATAAAATTTAAGATAGCGTAAGCTATACATAAATCTATCATAATTTATTAGACAATCGAAGGCAATATAAATCACACATTGATATTACAAAAATTTGTACAATAAGATGAAGAAACGATTAGTTATTTAATTTTTAAAAATTAGAAATATGACTCAAGAAAATTTAAAATATTAAATTAATTTTATTTAATGAATGGAGTAAATATATTTAAATTATTAAAAATAAAATTAAAAAATATAAAAAATAAAATTATTTAATAAAAACATTGAAACTTTGTTTAATAAATTTATGTTGTATAGAACCTAAGGTAATGTTAGTGCACGTAGGTTCTAACAATTTATAATACGTAAAAGTAGAGTCGCTACACATTAGCATTACAAATTATTGTGTTAATAAAATAGTTTCTATTTAAATTGATTGATTAGTAAAATAGTAATTTTAGGGAATACATTTTGATTGATTATTAAGATAATTTTTTTATTAATTAAAGATAACATATGATAAATTAATATTACTTAAAGTCTCGGTAATGTAGGTACACGTAAACTTAATTAATTTATAACACACAACGGTAAAGAAGTTACACGTTAATATTATAAATTGATGTACTTATATTATTTATTATTAATAATATAAGAGGAGGTACTCGCGTATATAAAACTAAATTACATCAATATTTTATGAATATATAATAAATAAAATAAAAGATAACAATCATAAATTGGAAGAGAAATAATTAACATAATAATTAAAACTTAAATAATAAAATAACATGAAAAGATTATGGAGAAAATTTATCATTGCATTAGTATGAGTTAAATTTTACAATTAAAAGAATTCAAATATAATAAAATAAAAAAATTACACTCCATTACATTTAATCTAATTTTAATAATTTCTTATTATTATTTAAAATCAATAAATGTAATTACGAGAAGTTAAGTCAAAATAAATAAATAAAAATGTGAAATCAAATATTTTATTTAAGATAATAATAAATAAATAAAATATGAAATAAAAATAATAAAAATAAAAAATTTTCATTTTTTAAACAACAAATAAATAAGTAAAATTATTTAGCTAAATAAGTAAAATAAAATGATAAAAAATGAAAATAGACTATATGCTATTAATACATTAGATCGGAATAGCATGAAAGAAAGAAAGGAATTCATTCATCCAAAAGCAAACAAAAATAAATAAAAAAAAAAAGAAATAATTTGATGTGATTTAGTTTTTCAGCATATGTACAGGTAGCACCAAATGCTATTAATCTGTTCTTTGAAATCATACTCCCCTCAAACAAAACAAAACGTTATATTATTAAAAAATTAAAAAAGGTAATTGTAACCCTCTCCTTTAAAAACCCTCAATTAGAGAATTAGTGATTTTATATATATATATATATATATATATATATATATATATATATAATAATCTTCCCCTCATACATAATAACAATGTATTAAACCATTAATTGCAAAAATAAACTTTAACAAACAAATTTTAAATAACACATTTCAGAATTTCGTCACTCCATAAAGTACTTAAGGTAAACTTTCATAAATATTTAAATATCCTTTAGAAGTAATACAAAGGGTAAATTAGTTAGTAAATTCTCCGCATTACACAACACTGTTAATTGAGAAACTCAATTACCATTTCACCTATCAACATAATTACATTCATATAAAACATTAGTTACAGTTCTTCAAAATAATAAAAGTAACACTGGAGATGACTTCCTATAGAGCAGCATAACTAATCAAAAAGAGTGTCTTCTACCCGATATCATAAAAACCTATGTACAGCAAAATACTACCTATGACTAACCTTCGCCACTATACAAAAAAAAATAAAGTAGCATCAGTACTACTCTGAATCCATATCTTCAGACTCATCGATGATCAAAGGATCATAATCCTCTGGAATATCAATATCCATTTCTTCCTCCTCAGCCGGAGGGGGAATTAGTGGTGGTATGGGCTGAAAAGGATTATTATTATCTAAGTCAAGGGTTAATCTAGTCCTTATGGTAATAGGGACACCACCTCTGGGTCCTGCTGCTCTCCTTAAAAATATAGTAAGGATGCCCGCAAAAGTATGAGTGTGTCTATCCCAATCGTGCTGCCATCGCTGTGGCTCCGGGCTAATGAGCCTGATCGTCATATTCATTTGGTGTGGAATCTGGGCCATCTCTCTCTACTACAGGTGGTAACCGATCAAGTCCAATAAATACCGCAGGTACAGAGAAAAAAATAAAGAAAATAGAAACAACGATAGGGTGAGCAATAGTTCATACATCACATTAAAATTAAACATCATAAACATTTACAGATCAATCGCATTCCAATGAATGATGATGATAGTGCATGATCTTAGTTTGTTTTTCTAAAATGTCCATGCATGCGGGCCCGAATTGTTTCTTAAATCAGTGCTGGGGTAGCCAGGAGTTGACACTACTAAGTATAGAAATCCACCCACGGAATTGTTGAGATCCACGCTCAAATATGAACCTAGTAGCTCACTGACCATGATATACCGTAAGAGTACAGTCAGGTACAGGAGAGTTTGTACAGTGGGATCCCCGACAACAGGTAGCGAGCCTGAGCCTTTTAGGGCTTCCAACCACTACCCTTCCTATCCCTAAGTCCTCCCTCAGGGCCTCCCTATTCCCAGAGTCCATAGTCTCTGATTCCCCATTTTGCACAAAATACCATTTTCGGATGAGTAATGTATGAGTTCCTAAGTGGTTTTTCTCTTAGAAAAGTCCTATATTTTTAAATTCTTAAATTTGTTTGAGAATGATAAAAAAAAAAATTCTAAGTCTAAATATTTTCAAAGTTTTGACAGAGTTTCCTCTGTAATACGGATTTTTCAAAATTTTCCAAATATCTGTTGCACTCAGAAAACTTCCCAATACGGTTTATAAGAGTTCTCAATCCATCATTCAATCATTTCAATTTGTTTTCATTAAACTTTTCCATGAAAAATCACCATGCACATAAATGCTCACTCAAAGACAACTCATATCATATAACACAATTTATGTCTTAATGAAGTATCAAACATATATTTCCATCACCAAACACATAGTCAAACCATTATCAAAATTAAGCATATAAGGAAATCACAATCATCAATCATAACAAAATTTAGACAATTTCAACAAATAAGATTAAATAAGTTTATGATGTAATCCTTACTACATAGCCCACCCCTTACCTGTTACGTCCACGTTTGTTCTCTTTAACGCTTGAAGTTGATTTCCGACGAAATCTATACACGTAATGAAACGCTAGTTAGAACCTTATAGTTCTCTGATTTTATCTCGTGAGAATTTAAACTCACTTTGTTTTGTTAATCCAATTTTTTTTTAATATATTAAGCTCACATTTACCCCACACTTAACTTAAAAAAAATCATCCTAGTTGGTACACACTTAGAGTAGGAAGAATCCTAATGGCGAGCATGAACAAGGTTCAGTACTTTGGAATTTTCTAGAGTTATATAAACTGTTTTGGCATGAGGTCAAAGCCCAAATTTCAATAACATAATTATTTACAATATTGATGTAGAGGTCAAAGTCTATTTCGAAATAGATTGTGCAACAAAGTTGATTAAAGTCATGGCAGGGAAATTTTCGAGCAGATTGCACAAGGTTCAGTGTTTTTGCCATAACTCAAGATATACTTAATATTTTAACATGAAACCAGTTTCTAAATTTCAAGGGTTTATTTATCTACAACTTTTATGAAGGAAGTAATTTCAAATACCCTATAGAAT